TTCCCAGCTGTGACGGAGGTCTATGAATATATCTCGGCCAGATAATCCAGTGATTGACATCATGAGCATTGATCGACGCAAATGGAATACGAAGACCAGCGTCAACCATGTCGGCGAGCCTGACCAGCCGATCTCGTAAGTCGCCTTTTACCACACGTACGAGTTGCTGGAGACAATTTCTAAGCCGAATCTTCTCCACGGTGCTTCAGGCGGGCTATCAATAATGTTTTTAGAAAGTGTGCCGTTTACAAGGACTTATACTGTAAACTGTGAAAGTTTACTTATTACTTGTATCCCGACCATGCAGTAACTTCAAGTGGTGGACATACAGACATGTTCGAGCTTTGTTTCAGCAGAGGCCGTCACCATGGTGACTGCACTGGACATGGCACTAATGTACACGAAACCAACGGATTGACAAACAACCTGTGTTGAAGGCGTGCCATTTGTCATGGCGCAAGGTAGTGCATTGCAGAGTGACCCTGATACCTGAGCCATCAGTTATTGCCAAGATGGACACCCACAAGATCAAAGTAAGCTTTAACTGCACAGCTTTCCTTTTGTGTATTGAACAAAATTCATGATCTTCATTTTTTAAGAATCTGATGTACGAGAAGTAAATATATAACGTTACTGCAAAGGAATACTCAGTTTTAACTATCCCCAGAAATCCATTCCATTTGGTGTAAAGGGGAAAATAGCTGTTGGAATCGTATGGATGGACCACTGAAACTCAACGATGACACCCCAAACGGCCAAAATGTGCATGTTATGTACATGATATTCTAAGGTGTTAGTATACAAACACAAAACAACGAAGGATATACTGTGTATCTGTTGAATATATCTTGGTTACAACTATTATGAATATATCAAAATACTGACTCAAAAATATCTCACTGGTTCATATAAATGTCAGTTGCATTAATTCCCCAAAGATAGATAGCACTATATTAAATCTTTGCTGAATTCTTAATTCTTCAGAATGTATATGCTTTACAACTTCATAGTCTCACGAGAATAACAAAAATAATTGTTATGCTTTGAAGGTACTCGCACTTATAGAATATATTCAAAATGAATGTGGAACATAACCTTTATTGATAGATATTTCGATCTGGTTATCATCATCGTTTGATAAAACATTCATATTTCAATCATATATATAAATGGGTGTATACAACGTGGACTAGATTATAGAAAATGGGTGTATACAACGTGGACTAGATTATCGGAGACGGGTGTATACAACGTGAACTAGATTATCAAAATTGGGTGTATACAACGTGGACTAGATTTATCGATAATGGGTGTATACAACGTGCACCAGATTATCGAAAATGGGTGTATACAACGTGGACTAGATTATCGAAATTAGCTGTATACAACGTAGACTAGATTTATCGATAATGGGTGTATACAACGTGGACTAGATTATCGAAAATGGGTGTATACAACGTGGACTAGATTATCGATAATGGGTAAATACAACGTGGACTAGATTATCGAAAATGGGTGTATACAACGTGGACTAGATTATCGATAATGGGTGTATACAACGTGGACTAGATTATCGAAGACGGGTGTATACAACGTGGACTAGATTATCGATAATGGGTAAATACAACGTGGACTAGATTATCGAAAATGGGTGTATACAACGTGGACTAGATTATCGGAGACGGGTGTATACAACGTGAACTAGATTATAGAAAATGGGTGTATACAACGTGGACTAGATTATCGGAGACGGATGTAAACAACGTGAACTAGATTATCGAAAATGGGTGTATACAACCTGGACTAGATTATCCAAACAGGTGTATAGAACGTGGACTAGATTATCGAAAATGGGTGTATACAACGTGGACTACATTATCAAAGACGGGTGTATACAACGTGGACTAGATTATCGAAACGGTTGTATACAACGTGGACTAGATTTATCGATAATGGGTGTATACGACGTGGACTAGATTATCGAAGACGGGTGTATACAACGTGGACTAGATTATCGAAAATGGGTGTATACAACGTTGACTAGATTATTGATAATGGGTGTATACAACGTGCACTAGATTATCGAAACGGTTGTATACAACGTGGACTAGATTTATCGAAAATGGGTGTATACAACGTGGACTAGATTATCGAAGACGGGTGTATACAACGTGCACTAGATTATCGAAGACGGGTGTATACAACGTGGACTAGATTATCGAAAATGGGTGTATACAACGTGGACTAGATTTTCGAAAATTGGTGAATACAACATGGACTAGATTATCCAAACGGTTGTATACAACGTGGACTAGATTATCGAAACGGTTGTATACAACGTGGACTAGATTTATCGATAATGGGTGCATACGACGTGGACTAGATTATCGAAGCCGGGTGTATACAACGTGGACTAGATTTATCGAAGACGGGTGTATACAGCGTGGACTAGATTATCGAAAATGGGTGTATACGACGTGGACTAGATTATCGAAAATGGGTGTATACAACGTGGACTAGATTATCGAAGACGGGTGTATACAACGTGAACTAGATTATCGAAATTGGGTGTATACAACGTGCACTAGATTATCGGAGATGGGTGTATACAACGTGAACTAGATTATCGAAAATAGCTGTATACAACGTGGACTGGATTATCGAAGACGGGTGTATACAACGTGGACTAGATTTATCGATAATGGGTGTATACAACATGGACTAGATTATCCGAACGGGTGTATACAACGTGGACTAGATTATCGAAGACGGGTGTATACAACGTAGACTAGATTATCGAAAATGGGTGTATACAACGTGGACTAGATTATCGAAAATGGGTGTATACAACGTGGACTAGATTATCGAAAATGGGTGTATACAACGTGGACTAGATTATCGAAAATGGGTGTATACAACGTGGACTAGATTATCGAAAACGGGTGTATACAACGTGGACTAGATTATCGAAAATATGTGTATACAACGTGGACTAGATTATCGAAAATGGGTGTATACAACGTGCACTAGATTATCGAAAATGGGTGTATACAACGTGGACTAGATTATCGAAAATGGGTGTATACAACGTGCACTAGATTATCGAAAATGGGTGTATACAACGTGGACTAGATTATCGAAAATGAGTGTCTACAACGTGGACTAGATTATCGAAAATGGGTGTATACAACGTAAACTTGCTCACATTAATTATCTGTATGTCAACAAGCTTCGGCTCCTGCAGACGCATTCTGGATCTTCATGGTTTCAACTGTACATGCTGACATTAATTTTCTATACGTCAACAAGCATCGGCCCCTGAAGACACATTCTAGCCGGGATCTTCATGGTTTCAACTGTACATGCTCACATTAATTCTCTGTATGTCAACAAGCTTCGGCTCCTGAAGACACATTCTAGCCAGGATCTTCATGGTTTCAACTGTACATGCTGACATTAATTATCTGTATGTCAACAAGCTTCGGCTCCTGAAGACACATTCTAGCCATGATCTTCATGGTTTCAACTGTACATGCTGACATTATTTATCTGTACGTCAACAAGCATCGGCCCCTGCAGACACATTCTAGCCAGGATCTTCATGGTTTCAACTGTACATGCTGACATTAATTCTCTGTATGTCAACATGCTTCGGCTCCTGGTGACACATTCTAGCCGGGATCTTCATGGTTCCATCTGTACATGCTCATATTAATTCTCTGTATGTCAACAAGCTTCGGCTCCTGCAGACGCATTCTAGCCGGGATCTTCATGGTTCCATCTGTACATACTCACATTAATTCTCTGTATGTCAACAAGCTTCGGCTCCTGCAGATACATTCTAGCAGCGATCTTCATGCTTCCATCTGTACATGCTGACATTAATTCTCTGTATGTCAACAAGCATCGGCCCCTGCAGACACATTCTAGCCGGGATCTTCATGGTTTCAACTGTACATGCTGACATTAATTCTCTGTATGTCAACAAGCATCGGCTCCTGCAGACACATTCTAGCCGGGATCTTCATGGTTTCAACTGTACATGCTGACATTTATTATATGTATGTCAACAAGCATCGGCATGCTGTACATGCTGACATTAATTCTCCATGTCTGTCTGTATGAAGTATGCCCATCCATATGGCGCCGAAATTGTCACTTCCAGCTATATGACGGTGATCTGCAAATATACGACAAGTAGACAAGTAGACTAGAGAAGTAGACAAGTAGACTAGACAAGTTAACGATTGATATTGTAAGCAAAGTAGCACAGCGTTGATGGTCGAGGACACGCAGTATCACGGAGTCTTGTGATGCTGAGACATACAGACTGCAGGTGAAGTTGTACCACGGAACACAAGAAGCACCTATGTGTATCAATGAGCAGGTATCACTGGTCGCGTTAATAACTGTCCCTTTATCTGAATGATGTCCTTTCTACTGATTGTCACCGGTAATAACATATATATATGTCCAATCGCAGTGTACGTTTATCTGTGTATCAGCTGGCCGACGACAATGTGAGCAATCAACAAACCTGTCAGTGTAACAGAGTAGAGGTCGGGTGAAACGGAAAATGTGTAAATGGACGGTGTTATTTATTATTGGCTATACAGGATATTTGTACCAACATAATGGATCACAACAACAATATTAATTCCGTTGTGAGTAGCAACAACAGAACCAGCCAAAACATTGTATTAAGCATAATTTCTATTTCAGATCAACTGACCCAGTTTACCATCATGAAGACATCGATATTCGGTGCTGTTAAATCATTAATTTGTGAATGGTAACCCTTATGTTTGTCATTGGAAGATAATTATGAGGTTCGAGCTACCAAGTGTGTAAAGAATGTGTTCATCGGTTTAGCACTAGTGTTTCATGTGTGTGTGCTCCGTTATGACAAATCAGTGAAACAGGGTCATGTCCACACTGATAAATAAATTTTAATACCGAAATCGTCTGTATGTTCACATAGTCACGTGATAATATGTACGGTTATGTGACCGACGATCTGTGATAAGGACAGTGGCAGTAGTTCGCAATGCCGAGAAGACCATATTTCCATCTGGTCGCTACCTTCCTGGCATATCTACAATATGCCCATGGCATACTCTACGCTCAACCGGAACAGATTCATCTGTCTTACGGCCGTAAGTATATTCAATATCACACCTTCACATATACAGTATACACACATGCCAATGACACCATTTATGACATGGTTACAGATGGCAAAACATATACTCATAGACACGAACAAGGGAACACATGAAAGTACAAATGTTCCTTTATTTATTTCTAGAATTTCACTCACGGTGCAACACATACCTTGTGAAGAAACCTGGAAAAGAATAAAGGAACACTTGTACGTTTGTTGTGCCCTTAAACGCACAATGGTCTTAAGTGCACAGAAATCATGATTTCTGTCCTCTTAAGACCATTGTGCGTTTAAGGGCACAACATACGTTCATGTGTTCCCTTGTTCGTTTCACTGAGTATATTTCCATTGGTGAAACAAAAAGAGGTTTGAATTCTTTCTTTTTTCTTGGACTGTCTTAGGGCCTTATTGGTTGCAGGTAACCAAGATCCGATGAAATGGAAACTAATATTTGACTTTGAACGTTGTAAGTGAACCACCTCGGATTATCGTGACCTAGAAACCAACATGTGGCGTTGCAGGTGACCCTTCTTCCATGATCGTGCCCTTGAACACCAATATTTGACATTGTACGTTGCAGGTGACCCGTCTTCGATGATCGTGACGTGGAACACATACAATGACACGAAGATACCAGTTGTGAAATACGGTTCCAGTCCTCTGGCGGTCAACCAGCAGGTTACTGGCTACAGCACCCACTTTGTGGACGGAGGGACGGAGCACAGGGCCCAGTACATACACAGAGTCGTCATCACTGGGCTTACTCCTGGACAGAAATACTGTAAGTATATGTAATGAGCTACGACTGTAGGCCTTCTCCCGAACATCAAATACTGTTAGTATATTAAGGGATTACGATCATGGCCTACTCCCGGAGAGACATACTGTAAGTATATGTAGGGGCCTGTATCATGGGCAGTGTAGGGGCCTGTGTCATGGGCCTACTCTTGGAGAGAAATACTGTAAGTATATGTAGGGGCCTGTATCATGGGCAGTGTAGGGGCCTGTATCATGGGCCTATTCCTGGAGAGAAATACTGTAAGTATATGTAGGGGCCTGTATCATGGGCCTACTCCTGGAGAGAAATACTGTAAGTATATGTAGGGGCCTGTATCATGGGCCTACTCCTGGAGAGAAATACAGTAAGTATATGTAGGGGCCTGTATCATGGGCCTACTCCCGGAGAGAAATACTGTAAGTATATGTAGGGGCCTGTATCATGGGCCTACTCCCGGAGAGACATACTGTAAGTATTTGTAGGGGCCTGTATCATGGGCCTACTCCCGGAGAGAAATACTGTAAGTATATGTAGGGGCCTGTATCATGGGCAGTGTAGGGGCCTGTATCATGGGCCTACTCCTGGAGAGAAATGTAAGTATATGTAGGGGCCTGTATCATGGGCAGTGTAAGGGGCCCGTATCATGGGCAGTAGGGGCCTGTATCATGGGCCTACTCCCGGAGAGAAATACTGTAAGTATATGTAGGGGCCTGTATCAGGGGCCTCCCGGAGTATGTAAGTATGGGCCTGTATCACTCCCGGAGAGAAATACTGTAAGTATATGTAGGGGCCTGTATCATGGGCCACTCCGGAGAAAATACTATATTAACGGAGCCCGTATCATAGGGAGCCTGTATCATGTAGGCTACTCCTGGAGAGAAATACAGTAAAGTATGTAGGGGCCTGTATATGGGCCTACTCCCGGAGAGAAATGCTGTAAGTGTAGGGCCTGTATCATGGGCCTACTCCCGGAGAGAAATACTGTAAGTATATGTAGGGGCCCATATCATGGGCAGTGTAGGGCCTACTCCCGGAAGAAATACTGTAAGTATATGTAGGGGCCTGTATCATGGGCCCTACTCCTGGAGAGAAATACTGTAAGTATATGTAGGGGCCTGTATCATGGGCCTACTCCCGGAGAGAAATACTGTAAGTATTTGTAGGGGCCTGTATCATGGGCAGTGTAGGGGCCTGTATCATGGGCCTACTCCCGGAGAGAAATACTGTAAGTATATGTAGGGGCCTGTATCATGGGCCTACTCCCGGAGAGAAATACTGTAAGTATATGTAGGGGCCTGTATCATGGGCCTACTCCGGAGAGAAATACTGTAAGTATATGTAGGGGCCCGTATCATGGGCAGTGTAGGGGCCTGTATCATGGAGCCTACTCCCGGAGAGAAATACTGTAAGTATATGTAGGGGCCTGTATCATGGGCCTACTCCCTGGAGAGAAGCATAGGGGCCCTGTCATGGGCAGTGTAGGGGCCTGTATCATGGGCCTACTCCCGGAGAGAAATACTGTAAGTATATGTAGGGGCCTGTATCATGGGCCTACTCCCGGAGAGATATACTGTAAATGTATATGTAGGGGCCGATGTATCATGGGCCTACTCCCGGAGACACTGTAACTGTATGTAGGGGCCTGTATCATGGGCCTACTCGGAGAGAAATACTGTAATCATATCATGGGCCTACTCCCGGAGATACATACAGAAGTCATGGGTAGGGGCCTGTATCATGGGCCACACTTCCTGAGAGAAATACTGTAAGTATATGTAGGGCCTGTATCATGGGCCTACTCCCGGAGAGAGAAATACTGTAAGATATATGTAGGGGCCTGTATCATGGGCCTAGGGGCCTGGAGAGAAATACTGTAGGAGAGATATATCATGTACAGTGTAGGGGAGCCTGTATCATGGGCCTACTCCTGAGAGAGAAATACTGTAAGTATTTGTAGGGGCCTGTATCATGGGCCTACTCCTGGAGAGAACATACATAAGAGGTATATGGGCCTGTATCATGGGTCTACTCCCGGAGAGAAATACTGTGAAAGCATATGTAGGGGCCCGTATCATGGGCAGTGTAGGGGCCTGTATCATGGGCCTACTCCCGGAGAGAGAAATACTAAGTAAGTATATGTAGGGGCCTGTATCATGGGCCTACTCCCTGGAGACATACTGTAAGTATTTGTAGGGGCCTGTATCATGTAGGGGCCTGTATCATGGGCCTCTCCCGGAGAGAAATACTGTATGAGGTATATGTAGGGGCCTGTATCATGGGGCCTACTCCCGGAGAGAAATACTGTAAGTATATGTAGGGGCTGGTATCATGTAAGCCTACTCAGGAGAGTATACTGTAAGTATTTATGGGGCCAATACATGTAAGCAGTGAGGGAGCCTGTATCATGGGCCTACTCAGGAGAGAATATACTGTAAAGTATATGTAGGGAGCCCTGTATCATGGGCCTACTCCCGGAGAGAAATACTGTAAGTATTTGTAGGGGCCCGTATCATGGGCAGTGTAGGGGCCTGTATCATGGGCCTACTCCCGGAGAGAAATACTGTAAGTATATGTAGGGGCCTGTATCATGGGCCTACTCCCGGAGAGAATATACTGTAAGATATGTTGTAGGGGCCTGTATCATGGGCCTACATGAGCCCCAGAGAGAAATACTGTAAGTATATGTAGGGGCCTGTATCATGGGCCTAGGGGCCACATCGGGAGAAATACTGTAAGTATATGTAGGGGCCTGTATCATGGGCCTACTCCCGGAGAGAAATACTGTAAGTATTTGTAGGGGCCTGTATCATGGGCAGTGTAGGGGCCTGTATCATGGGGCCTACTGGAGAGAAATACTGTAAGTATATGTAGGGGCCTGTATCATGGGCCTACTCCCGGAGAGAAATACTGTAAGCATTTGTAGGGGCCCGTATCATGGGCAGTGTAGGGAGGCCTGTATCATGGGCCTACTGGCCCAGGAGAGAAATACTGTAAGAATTATATGTAGGGGCCTGTATCATGGGCCTACTCCTGGAGAGAAATATATATAAGTATATGTAGGGGGCCTGTATCATGGGCCTACTCCCGGAGAGATACATAAGTGTAAGTATCATGGAGCAGTGTAGGGGCCTGTATCATGGGGCCTACTCCCGGAGAGAAATACTGTAAGTATATGTAGGGGCCTGTATCATGGGCCTCCTCCTGGAGGCCTGTATCATGCTAGGGGGCCTGTATCCATGGGCCCGGAGAGAATACTGTAAAGTATATGTAGGGGCCTGTATCATGGGCAGTGTAGGGGCCTGTATCATCTACTCCCGGAGAGACATACTGTAAGTATATGTATCAGGGGCCCGTATCATGAAATACTGTAGTATGTAGGGGCCTGTATCATGGGGCCTACTCATGGGAGAAATACTGTAAGTATATGTAGGGGCCTGTATCATGGGCCTACTCCCGGAGAGAAATACTGTCATGGGCATGTAGGGGGCCTGTATCATGGGCCTACTCCCGGAGAGAAATACTGTAAGTATATGTAGGGGCCTGTATCATGGGCCTACTCCCCGGAGAGAAATACTGTAAGTATATGTAGGGGCCTGTATCATGGGCCTACTCCCGGAGAGAAATACACTGTAAGTATTTGTAGGGGCCTGTATCATGGGCAGTGTAGGGCCTGTATCATGGGGCCTACTCCCGGAGAGAGAAATACTGTAAGTATATGTAGGGGCCTGTATCATGGGCCTACTCCCGGAGAGATACTGTACTGTAAGTATCATGGGCAGTGTAGGGGCCTGTATCATGGGCCTACTGTAGGAGAAATACTGAGCAGTGTAGGGGCCTGTATCATGGGCCTACTCCCCGGAGAGAAATACTGTAAGTATCTGTATCATGGCCCCTACTCCCGGAGAGAAATACTGTAAGCATATGTAGGGGGCCAATATCATGGGCAGTGTAGGGGCCTGTATCATGGGCCTACTCCCGGAGAGAAATACTGTAAAGTATATGTAGGGGGCCTGTATCATGGGCCTACTCCCGGAGAGACATACTGTAAGCATTTGTAGGGGCCCGTATCATGGGCAGTGTAGGGGCCTGTATCATGGGCCTACTCCCGGAGAGAAATACTGTAAGTATATGTAGGGGCCTGTATCATGGGCCTACTCCCGGAGAGATATACTGTAAGTATATGTAGGGGCCTACTCCCGGAGAGATATACAGTATGGAAGTATATGTAGGGGCCTGTATCATGGGCCTACTCCTGGGAGAGAAATACTGTAAGTATTTGTAGGGGCCCGTATCATGGGCAGTGTAGGGGCCTGTATCATTGGCCTACTCCCGGAGAGAAATACTGTAAGTATATGTAGGGGCCTGTATCATGGGCCTACTCCCGCAGAGAGAAATACTGTAAGTATATGTAGGGGCCTGTATCATGGGCCTACTCCCGGAGAGATATACTGTAAGTATGTAGGGGGTATCATGGGCCTATCAGAGAAATATAAAAAGTATATGTAGGGGCCTGTATCATGGGCCTACTCCCAGAGAGAAATACTGTAAGTATATGTAGGGGCCGTATCATGGGCAGTGTAGGGGCCTGTATCATGGGCCTACTCCCGGAGAGAAATACTGTAAGTATATGTAGGGGCCTGTATCATGGGCCTACTCCCGGAGAGATATACTGTAAGCATATGTAGGGGGCCTGTATCATGGGCCTACTCCCGGAGAGATCACTGTAAGTATATGTAGGGGCCTGTATCATGGGCCTACTCCCGGAGAGAAATACTGTAAGTATATGTAGGGGCCTGTATCATGGGCCTACTCCTGAGAGAGACATACTGTAAGAAACTGTGTGGTATATGTAGGGGCCTGTATCATGGGCCTACTCCCGGAGAGATATACTGTAAGTATATGTAGGGGCCTGTATCATGGGCCTACTCCCGGGAGAAATACTGTAAGTATATGTGGAGGGCCTGTATCATGGCCTACTCCCAGGAGAGAGATATAGTATAAGT